CCCAGAGACGAGCCAGTGAGCCAGAGCGGGGCCCTAGGATGGGAGTCACGAGGATAATGGCACAAACGCTACTCCCCCAGCTTCTCCAGGCATCACGGCAACCCTAACCCTCACTTCACGGACGGGAAATCAAAGTCTCATGCCGGGAACTGTATTTGCTCTCAAGGTGGGAGGAGTGACATGTAAAATGCAAATTTCCGGAGGCTGTGTCTACCATGTAGGGAGAACCGAACGTGCTGCTCGCCCTGGCCGACTTGGACCATTAAGCAGACTGAAGGAGGTACTGCCGGTAATGGGATCTGCACGCAAGCTCGTCCCTGCTACACGTCCCATCGATGGACAACATTAAAGACTGTGATTTATAACATAGCAGAATTACCGTTCTCACCTATGAGGACAAGCCTGTCTGTCTAATACGTACGTACCTCTCTACTAAAGCTGTGCGCTGCTGAGATGTTGTTTCCTCTCCAACCACAGCATCCCTCTGCCGGCATCTCTGACTCCACTCTCTCTGCCCTTCATGGCCACTCACTGTTCTTCTTATCAAGAACAGGTGAGAAAATACACAACGAGACCATTTAAACTAGGGAACATGCTACTGGTATTACAAGACTATCATGGTTCACTTTGGAAATTTCTTCCGTGGTAGAACACCTACCAGCCAAGACTGGGAAAGGGTAACTCATTTTAGTGATGTCCTTATCACAGACTCAAAAGCCTTCACATATAAGGCAATAGGGTGTGTGTGGGGGTGTGTGTGGGTGGGTGGGTGTGTAGGTGTGTGCACTGTGGAAGAGTTAAAACATCTGAATTCTATTTCCTCCAAAAGACAAACAGCCTCACTTGGTCACCGCCAGCCAGCGTTAAGTGGACCCTGCCATACTCTGCAGGGTCCTGCCTCTCCCCGCTTGCTTCCCCAGGACCTGGGAGAGGAAGACAAATGCAGAAAACATAGACCAAGTAAAGCACCTCTCGGTCACCTCTGCTGGGGAAGAGGAGACATGTGCACTCTGGCCAGTGGGAGCCGGTCAGTTTCTGGAAGGATGAGCCCTGACATCGGCCCTGTCGTGGAGGAGGGATGGGGGCTACAATATGTACGGTGCACATTACCCAGAGACCTGGTCAGAGCAGAGATGACCCCTGCAGGCCAGGCTAAAACGGCCGAGCAGCTCCATGCAGACGGCACTCCACCAGTGGTGACCGCGGGCTCAGTGGGACGCGGCCGCAGGCAAGGAGCATGGGGGGGCGGGGGCGAGGTGGGCACCCCTCCTCCTGAGACTGTGGAAGCCCGAGGACCAGGAGAGCACGGGCAGGGCAGCCCAGGTCGGGTGAACGAGCACTCAAAGACGTGTACGCCGATGCCTCAGAGGAACGTGAACAGAGGTGGTCTGTAAGAGGGAGAGGGCCAGCCAGAGGAGGGAGAGGCCGAGAGCCCAGTCTGAGGCCTCCCGCAGAGCAGGAGGGCGACACCTGAGAGGTGCCTGCCGAGGCCTAAGGCCGCCCTGGGCGGGGACGCGTCTCGAGGTGAGGCCAGCAGCACACCACGGTCAGAGGCTGGGAGCGGGGGGAGCTGAGGGGCAGCTGGGACGGTGGCCGGGGAAGCGCCGAGGCTCCGAGGTGGCCTCTGTCTGCTAAGACAGCAACGGCGACCGAGCAGGAGGGCAGCGCACACCAACGCTGAGAGGGGCCGGGCACGTGGCGGCAGGTGGCCCGGGGGAAGGGGCGTCAAAGCTAAGCCAACAAGGAAAGAGCCGAAATCACACACAATGGAAAGGAACAGTCCAGAGATGGAAAGGAGGAAGGAAAAGTGATGACCTGAGGGTGACGACCCCGCAGGGGGTCCCACATGTCGTGGGTGGGAGGGCGTCTGCAAGCCCCAGGGCCTCTGGGGAAACCGGACGCGTCACTGCTGCTCTGCCACAGAGCCGTCCCGACCACGGCCGCGCGGGGGGTGTCGCGAAGGCCCCTGCCAGACCCGGCCCCTTCTCAGGCAGCACAGATCCGCCAGCCAGGGCCAGCAGAAGCAGACGGACTCCGAGGCCGAAGACCACACGTCGACATGAAGCTGACACAGTCAGAGCTGCTCTCCTCAGCGCACAAGGCTGGGGTCCAGGAGTGAAGCGGGCGGCGAGAGAGGAACTGCACCCACGCTCTGCGATCACCTCTTTTATTTTACTGTTGCTACTTTAAATATTTACATTTTCAGTTTATAGAGGTCTGCATTTTTCCAGTTTCAAGTCAGCTAGCTACACGGAGAAGCTACCCCTTGTCCTGGACTGTTTTCATCATGTTTACTTTTATGAACAATTTCGAAAGACATGCAGCCCATTCTTACACGCCTGCGCCCTAGAGCCTTGTCAAGTGTGAGATCAGCCACAGAGCCTCATCGTGAGAGTTGAGGGTCAGTTTCCAGACCTCAGGGGCCACACTCCGACCACCCTCCGGACACAAGGTGCTGGAGGACATCTGGACGTGCTGGGCTCCTCGAGGGGGCTCCGCAGGACCGCGTCTTGAATCTGCCGCAAGTCGGAGTTTTTGCAAGAAGACAAGTTCCACCGTTGGTGGTGTTTTGGTCTCCGGAACGACAACACACCTGAACTCACTTAGAGCCCGGCACCGGGTCACATCGAATCGCGGCCCTGGAGGCGGCGTGCTGAGCGCGCGGGTGTGGGGGTAGAACACGCGGTCCTCCCTCACCAGGGCAACGTGGGTGTTCAGAAGGACTAGCGACTGGCAGTGGCCTTGGCCGGCGTCACCCTCGACTCTGACCGTCGTGTAGAGCAACAGCTGAACCTCTGCCAGGGAGGGGGCGCTGCCTTCCAGATTTCTGTGAAGAAAGTAAATCAGGTCCACCGAAGTATTCTGGAATTTGGATGACCACCGAACGCCGCTGGCCAAGACTAAATCAGGGACGTCTGCCCTCCAGTCGAGAGAGAGCTGGACCAGATCTTGTTGGAACAAAGGATGGAGAGTACAGGCAGTGGCCTCAGCCTCGGACGTCAGGACCCGCAGGAGGTCTCGGCATATCTGTTGACAGAGGTTTTTGTTGTAACTAAAGACGGTGAGCAGGAGACTCTCTGCACAGCCCAGGAGCCGAATGCTCTGCCCACCAAAGCCGACGTGAATCTCCTGCAGCCCAGAGAGCGGCAGAGCATGAAAAATGCCCACAGAGCCCGGGTGATGCCCGGACGGAACCAGCGCATACAGAGCTGAGTGGAGCAGGAGCAGACACGCCGGCCGAGGGGTGGGCTCCGCGCAGTTCGCCACCGCAAGCCAGTACACACCTTGGACCTCATGAATGTCGCCTACAAGTTCTGGCAGGGAGGCAGCTATGAGCTCCAAGAAGTCTTTTAAAGGGCACTCTTGAAGTTTCAGCATCTGGTCTGGGAATCGCACGAGGGTCTGCTTAAACACAGAGCCCCTTCCAGCATCTCCACGTTCGAGGCAGCAAACGGAGCCTGGCGAGGAGTCTGGCAACATGGCAGCTGTGGGGGCAGGAGGCAGGGCTGGTGCTCTGTAAGGCACTGTGCTCCCTGCCGGCCCAACAGCCCCCACCTCTCCGCTGCTGCCGCCACCCTGAGCTGCTTCGGGAGGAGAGTGAGCTTCAGATGATGCCCCACGTGACTCCAGGAGCGTGTCCAGGGGTAGGAGTTTCAGGATCGGCAGCCTGCTAACAAATGCTGCTACGTGGGTGGTGAGGCTGCTGGGGTCACACAGGCTCCCCACTTGCCTGGCGTGGCTGATCACCCTCGTGCCCGCCTGCCACAGGTGACTGCTGGTGTCTTTATAAAGGTCTGAGAACCGGTGGTAAAAATACCCCAGCCCACTGTTTCCCTCTGTCCTGAGGGTCCTCGGTGACCCCGGAGAGCGGACTGCTGCAGCTGCTGACTCTTCCTCGCCTTCCTGCTCCCGACAGAGCTTCGCAGCTGCTGCCCTTGGAGGAATGCTGTCGCCAGAAGCGCTTTCAGAGACGACGAGGCAGAGGAGCCGATGCTGCCAGGTCTGCTGGCCCTCGCTCCCTACGGACACTTCCCGGAACGTGCGCTGCAGCAAAGTCCAGCTGGACGTGATCTCTGGGCTGTGCTCACCTCTGTGAGTCGTCAGCTCACAGACGTTTTCGGACTTACCCTGAGAATGTTCTGTGACGCTGGTGCTGCTTTCATTAAGAAAAGAGAGTTTAGGTAGATCAGAATGTTGTGGTTGAAAACCACCCGGCTCACACTCAGGACAACTGTATTCGCAGTCGCTGTTGTGCAACGGCTCGTGTGCTGCAGGCTGAGACCCACGCGGGTGGGTTCCCCCACCTGGCGCCCAGGAAGGGGAGGTGGGGCCGGAGATGCTCTGGGTTGCGGGACGGCTCTGGCGGTGGTTCTGGTCCACCTCCCTCCTCTCCTCTCGGCCAGGAGCATCCAAGACATCTTCGGGCAGTAACGGGGCAAGAGAGCTTTTCTGTCAAAAACAGGTGAAATGAGGGGCGGCACCTTTCACGATTCTTTTGCACGTGAAGATTCCTGCAGTGATTGGTTTCATCGTGTGGATTAATGCAGAGGTTAAATCGAAAGCCTAAGCCATTCATGTTGATTGATCCATGATTTAGGAACAGAGAATCTGATTCACACATAGAGCATCAATTTCTGTAATTACGTCTCTTACAAATCGCCAGATATTTTGGTAGAAATAGGTTGGATAGGATTGGTCCACAGTATCCATTTCTTGGTCTAATATTTCACTTACTCAAAAATAAAATCTTAAAGAGTTTTGATTCAATCTTCAAAGTCAAATTTAGCTCTGAAAATTAGTCCCTGACCATCTGTGCAAAATGGAAGCATAATCAGGGCACACTTAACGCAAAACAGAAACTGACACGCATTCCAAGCCCAGTCATGTTTGTCTCGCCTCCCAGTTTGTTTCACGGGAATCTCACTATATCTGCCCTGGTGAGACGGCCATCACGGTGTCTACAAACCAGCACCAGGAAAGGGCCCCCGCCGGCCTGCGGCAGGCCAGGCGCGCGGACGCGGGGTTCCGCTCTACACAAGTTTATGGGCTGAGGAGGCAGATGTCCAGGGAAGACGGCGTCACTCCTGGGTGGCTGGGTCGCGCGCGTGGTGGCGGCCACTCGGGCAGGCCTCCCGTGGAACGCCCACCCCTCCACTGCTCACCCTGTTCAGTGATGTAAGACTCCTATCGTCTCGTGGATTTGCTTTTTTTCTTTTTTAATTTAGGAGTGTATGGGAAGGACAAGTCCCTCAGTGCAGGAGAACAGAAGTAAGGCCCTACAAATCGTATGCCCAAACAAACCCTGGCTTGACAGTCCTCCAGAGAAACGAGCTAATCAACCGAGAGTGTTTCCTCCGTACCACTGCCAGCGCGTAGTCTGTGAAGCAAGCAGCGCTTCTCAAACACCGGGAAGCACTCGGCTTCAGTTCCAAACCCCCTGTCTGATCCTGATTACGTAATTCTGCCTTTTAAACGCAGACCAAGGGAAAGGATACTGTTACAAATGAAAAACTGGGCAAAGGGCCTCCACCACAGCTCCACGCCGTTCAAATAAAGTCAGAGCAGTTTGCAGCCGGCAGGATTCCGTTTAATTTTAAGTCATATAATAGCTTGCCTTCCCTATTAGCCATTAATCTCACTGGGACTTCAAAATTCTAATTATGCAACTAAACATTAAGGAAATGTAATCACACAAGCATGCCGTAATTTAAGGCGACCCCATCAATCTGAAAAGTCATTACCTACCTCATATTTTAGCTTACGTTGAATGGTGCCATTGTGAAGTTTCTCATTATCCTGAAAAGAAAATAAAAGCCCTCTATATTAAATTATACCATGTTCACGGAGGAGGGAAGAGAACTGATTTGATTAGAAATATTTATGGGAGCAAAATTCTAAAGAAACATACTTGTCATTCAACAAAGACAACCCTTCTAGAGAATTTCCATTGCCTAGGAAAACCTGACTGTATCGATCCATCTGCCTGTAAGAGGACTTAACCAATTATTTGAGGCTTAAAACTCTAAGAATAATATTAAAGGCAAGATTTCCTCAGGACACTTCTTAATGTGCCGGGTAGAAATGAAATGCATTTCGATAAAAACTAACTTGTCACAAGTATTTATCTCCTTGAAGGCAAAATTGTATTTCTACTTGGGATAATTTAACCAATAAATTAAATACTTAGGGAAATTGGCTGGATTGTTGGAGAAAAAAGACAGGTGTTACATGCAGAATTTTTATAAATCAAAACAAAGTAAATAATGCATTTTAGGAAGCTTCATACTCAGTTAAGATTTTCCCCTATAAGTTCAAATTTTTTAAATAAATACTCTTGAATTAACACCATTTGTAAACAATTCAGCTCCACCCAAGCAATACTTAATTCTTCTACAACATCCTACGTCTTAATTCCTCACTGAGAAACAGTCAGTAAAAGACCCACCGCTGGCTACTTATTGAAAGGTCATCTTGAAAACCAATGACCGTGTCGTCTGCTCCTTCACTCACCCTCCCCGTATCCGCAGGGGGACTGCTGCTGCCACCGGTCAGGCGATGCAGGTCCTGGAGACGTCTCTGGACTTCTTCCTCAATGTAAGCACTGATCCTGAAAACAGAGGACGTGGGGGTGCTCAACCTCTTCTAACCACACAGGGCATTTTGAGATCCTTCCTTTATTCTGCCCTTTATAACCGAGAACCTTCTTGTCCTAAATATCAAACGTAATGACAACTCAGGACGGCAAACATTTTCCACTTTCTAAGACATCCAGGGCCACGTGTTCACTGTCAGGGTTTTCCCCAAACAGGAGAGAACTGGATGGATGGCAGGATCTCGGGAATGGAAGGGAGACTAAGGGACCCCGTTCAAATCTCCTGGATTTCCTGAGCGGAGGAGCCCCTGCTGGAGGGGAGGGGAGAGTCACAGACGCCGGCTTCAGACGGCTGTGGTCTCAGGACCACACTTCACTCACCGAGCCTCAGTTTCCTGACACACAAAACGGTGATAGCTATTTCTCATAAGACACATTTCAGAGGATTAAAAAGGGAAACAAAAAGAAGTGCATGTACTCTCTACAAATCTTCACCACTGGACGGACAGTGTCTCACACTGCTCCTGCTCTGTCTGGTCACCTGTCCGTGGCCGAGAGATGCCACATTTGAAAGGTCTCTACCTTCCAAAACTCCTGGCAAAGGGGAGTCAAAGCCACAAGCAGCTGACTTTCGAGGCAGTTGTCAATCGAACATCTGGTACCCCTTACAGTGCAGGGGCAAGTGTCTGAGTACAACCACCTGCCCGGGAGTCCAGAGAACTCTGGTTCCGTCTTAAACCTTCCGAGTCGCTCAGACCTGCCCAAAGGCAAGGCTCACTCAGGTCTAGGCTCCCTGACCCCAGTCCTACAGACACTGAATTAGATGGATTATCTGAGATGAACTGTTCAGTATGTTTACATCTAGCACACTAGGGAAAACATCACAGCTATCACCCTATAAAATAGCTCTGTACTGTTGGCCATGGCTAAACGACCTTCTGATATGCTGGGTACAGAGACGAACGCTTCAGGTGAAACAGCCCGGAAGGATGGAGTTAGGGTAATAAAATGCAGTATTTACCTGTCACTATTTCAGTAAAGAAAACCATGTGTGAGTGCACCCGAGCGAAGGCCTCTTACAAATGAGTTATCTCCCCAGACAGACCTTTACTTAAATTTTAAACAAGCATCACAGAAGATGCAGACTTGGGTTTAGAGGACTACAGAGGCTCACGCCATGCTGAGCACATTCTGAGATCCAAATACCCATCTCCTAATGCCCAGGGCTCAGACCGCCCGATGTGAAATGTCCCTGTGACACAGATGGGGTCGAGGGATGTAAGAAGACTGATCAAGTCGATGTGCCCAAGGGCTCTAAGCACAGAGCAATTCACAGTGCCACTCAAGGCGACATCATCTTCCTACAGGGACATCAGATACATATTTACGCGAGCCAGGATCGTTCTGAGTCGACGGGGGCAGTACTTGTGACACCTCATCTGTTTGTAATCAATGACTTCTATAAGCTGCCACTGCAAGGTCCTTCTTCTTGGTATAATTCAATTAACTCTACTTCTCTGTTCCTCTCAGCCTGACCTGGCATCAGTCCTTTCTCGATGAGCTGGTTTCCCCGAACCTTTTAATTCTACCTTCTCACGACAACTACTTGCACCAGAATTCCTTGGATTTGGCTGGCCAGGTCTCAGGTTTGGGGCCCTTTAAATGACACCTCTGCCTCTCCCCACCCCGGGCCAGGCAGCAGCTGCTCAGGACAAAGTCTGTCTCAAGGACACATATTGCTTGTCGCCTTTGACATACAAACTGGTCGATATAAAGTACAGTGAGTCATTCAGTCACATCAGAAGCAGGCATGACATCAGTTTAGTGTCCAGTACCTGGCATCCATCAGAGGGACCAGGTGAGACTTGGCAGCACTGGACGGGAGGCTGGAGGAAGCAGGCTTTCCCTCGGAGGTCCCAGGATGCCCTTTCTGATCACCGTCAGCCTCGCAGACCTTCTGCTTCAGCTGCTGGATTTCCTGCTCTAACCTGCAGAGATGCAACTTCTGTGAATTCCTTCATTAACAGCATCTCCTGAGCACCTGCACTAGAAACCAGGGGAGACCCAGACACAAACAATGAAAGAGCTTCATCTGCTGGCAGAAAAGCTACCCCATATCTGTGAGACAAGGTATGGGATGTAACAGGCCACCAGAGGGGTTCAAGACAAGTTTAGGGCAAGTGCTCTGGTATCCAAAAGTTGGAGAGAGCTCTACCATCAAGGGCAAAGACATCCCCACTGTGCTCAGCAAAGCCTCAGAGGTAGACGTGCAGGATTCTGAGCCCCGACCCTGGCTTCACCAGAACAGCTGGTTGTTGACTGTGTATCAGATCCCACTAAACACTTCTGTTTGACCAAAGAGATCTTGGCTTTAAAGAATTTTTTAAAACCATCAA